CAAGCATGTAAGTTCTCTAGAACTGTTCACCTTTTGCAAAGATGTTTTGCTATTCTAGGTCTTCTTCCATTTCCACATGAATTTAGAATCAGCTGGCAAATGTGTGTGAAAAAGCTTGCTTGCATTTCCTTGGGATTGCACTGCACATACAGACCAGCCCAGGGAAGGCTGACGTCCCAGCAGCCCTGTGTCCTCGAACGTGGTACACCCCTCCATTCACTCTGGTCTTCTTTAATTCCTCTCAACAGTTCTGTGGCTTTAGGTAAAGCAGACTTGCACATCTATTAAGAACAGAGGCATAGATATTTTATGTTTTTGTCAGTATTTTTAATGGGATTATTTTAAAATTTCATTTTCCAGTTGTTGGCTGTTCGTATATAAAAATCCATTTATTGCTTAATAATCTTGTATCTGGTGACCATGCTAAGATCACGTATTGGTTCTAGCAGAGGTTTTTTGGACAGTCATGTCATTTATTAATAAGGGCAATTTCTTCCCTATCAACCTTCATGCCTTCTCTTTCTTTTCTTGCCTTAGTGCAGGGACTAGGTCCTTTAGTGCAAAGGCGAGTGGGATAGGTGAAAGGGAGCTTCCTTTGCTCACTGCTGAGCCAAGAGAACAGTGTTTTAGTATTTCATCACGGACTAGGACATGAGCAGTAGAGTTTGCTGAGATTTTATCTGTGGCTGAGGGTATGATACATTTCCTTTACAATTTTAGTTTGTTATTTGCCCCATATCTATTGAGCACGCAGACATGCTAGACACAGCTCTAGGTCGAGGGGTTGCAGCCACAAGCTGGTCAGTCCCTGCTCTCGTCGAGCTCACTTTCTATTGGCGGAGACTGACAAGAAAAAGCAAGCAAACGAATTTAAATATCATTTCAAGTAATGGTACCTGTGGGGACACAAAGCTGGCCAATTGAGGGCTGTTTTCTCTTCCCTCATTTTTATTTTTGGTTCATATTCAGATCTGTAATTGTGGTGTCACCTCAGAATATGTGGTTCACCTTAGAGTCCTGGGTCATGCTTCCTCACCAAAAACTTACCCCAGCCCCCTTTAGGGAAAGCTGGTTCTTTCTCCGGCTTCTGAGGGCCCGCCTCCATCACCGGTCATGTGTCCAAGTCCTGGGTGGGTGTGTTTGTGGGGCGGTGGATGGGCTGTCCCCTCTGATCCTAATTTCTGTCTACCCCCAGCCCAGCGAGAGACTGCATCACAGTGCAGCTCACAAGGGCTGTGTGCTCGGGCCATTTTCTTGCTGGTTCTTTTCCTGGTGTCTGTCCTGGCCTTTAGGGCATCTTTAGCTTTTCTGTATGCAAAACTCTTAGCTTGTCACATTTCACAGAATTTCCTTTTTAACTCTTGGGGCTGTGACTGAGACTCACTCTGGGGAGAAACGACAGCTTCATTATGCAATCTCCCCAGCCACGAAAGTGACAAGTATCTGTATTTATTTAGAAATAGTTTAGTTTTCCTCTAAATTTTGTAATTTTCCCATAGATTTATTTCAAGGTAAAAAGTACTTTCCACTTTTAAAAAATTGACTTTAATGTAAATATAACATGGTATCCTGGAATGGAAAAGGGCATTAGTGGGGACAGCAGTGACATTAAATAGTCTGTAGGTTGCTTCCCAGTGTTGCCCCTGTGACGATTTCATTAGCTGTGATGAATGTATCATAGCAAACCTTAGAAGACGCTGGCCAGGGGCGTGTAGGAGCCCTTGTACCTGTGTAACATCTGTAAATCTAAAACTATTTCCAGATGAAGTTTTAAAAGTCAACAGTAACTTAAATATTACTTAAATACACATAATTTGAAGTATGTGTAACCTACCACAAGTGAACGCATCCATGGTAGTGACCACTCTTATAGGGGTGACCAGTGCGTACGAGCGGCCCCAGAAAAGCCTGTTTGGGTTAGGATGAAGGGGTCCCCCTCCCCGCGCTCCTGCCCCCTCGGAGCCAGCATAGGGCCTGGCTGTGGGACCCGGAGCAGAGTCCACCTCCCTTTTGCAGTCAGAGACCTGGACCTTGGAGTTGGGGGAGAATGGCTCCGTGTCTGTTTTTTCATCTGTTAGCATGGTGGGCCGCTAAGGGGCCGGGCACCCCGCCCCTCCCCGCCAGCTCCCTTTCTGGGACCAAGCTTGCTGCAGTTTCTGCTCTGTTGCTGGGCACTCTTCTAATTCCCAGCCCACTGGGTCCTCCAGAGGCATGTTCTGCACAGCAGTGGAGACCATGCCGGGGAGACTGGGGGCCAGGGAAGCTCGCCACATGGCCCTGTGGATGCCCCCAGGCCGGGTGCCATGCCGGCAATGAGGGCTTTGCAGCCAGCTGGTGTGGCACAAATCCATTCCACTGTGGAGTGACCTCGGGTCCCCTCACCCCTGGCCTTGGGGAGGCCAAACAGAGCTGCCCCTCCATCCGATGGGCCAGGGCCTCCCTTGCCTTTCCCTAAGCCTCAGGCCAAATGGACCAGCCCCCAGCGCAACTGAGGGCCAGACAAGGACACCAGGAACCCTGAGGAGTCCCTGAAACTCAGAGCCAGAAGGGCCCTGGACAAGCCCCCCTCCCCCCACCCATCCACCACCACCAGGCCCACCCTAGCGTGGCAGAGCTCAGCACACAGCTGGCTCTCAGTAGATGCCTATTTGATCACTAGCTCTGTAGTTCATGTGCTGTGTTGGAGAAGCAATCACACCCCACCCCCCGCCCTCCCCCAGCTGTCCCACACCTTCCTTCCCAGGAGGGAAAGGGGGGACACCAGGTCACCAGCTCGGCTTTGGGGATTGTTTTTAAAGGATTTTATTTGTTTGTTTATTTCAGAGAATGTGAGTAGGGGAAAGATGGGGGTGGGGGGATGGGAGGGGGAAGGCATCTCAAGCAGACTCTGTGCTGAGATCATGACCTGAGCTGAAACCAAGAGTCAGATGCTTGACTGACCGAACCCCCCAGGCACGTCCCCCAATTCTGCTGGAGTACACCAGACACTCTCAGGAAGGAGGAAGAGCAGTTGGTCACTCTCACTTTAGTGTGAATTAGTGTGTTCAGGAGGGAGGATTACAGAAAAGTGGGACTTGGCACTGTTCGGAAAACTGTAGCTGCTCCCTGGACTGTGGGGTTCGCTCCTGCCTCCTCCACACCTGCCAGAGCCGACTGTCACTCAGGAGGCAGAGAGATCCTGCTTGCTTCTCTGGGCAACTACTAGCAGAGTGTAGAAGTGACTCTCTTCTATGACCTGCTTCTCCTTGAGTCACTGGCTTCATATCGGCTTTATCAAACTGTGCAGGTGTTTCTGAAAACAGACCCTGAGGTTTTAGTTTTCTGTTAGTCCGGATCTGTGCCAAATGCCCAGTACAGGAGGGCTCCCTGACCTCACAGTGACATGGTGGCCTTGGCGCCCCACACTCCAAGACGCTGTGGGAGTGTCTAGCAGCTAGGAAGGCCCACAGGGGGTGGGCATGGCCCGGCCTAATGGACGTCTAGTTCTCAGCCCAGAACACTCAACCAAAGAGTTGTTCTTTCTCTTTCTCTCTCTTTTTAAAGATTATTTATTTATTTATTCATTTACTTATTTAATAGAGAAAGAGAGAGAGCGCGCACTAGCAGGGGCAGCAGTAGGCAGAGGGAGAAGCAGACTCCTGCTAAGCAGGGAGCCTGAGGTGGGACTCCATCCAGGACCCTGGGATCAGGACCCAAACAGAAGGCAGACACTTAACAACTAAGCTGCCCTGGCGCCCCCCAAGAGTTGTGCTCTTGCCATCAACAGCTAGTGGTCTTGCAAACGACTTCCTCCACTCACACGGTTGGGGTCAGTCCTGAGTAACCGGCGGGGACAGTGTATGCCCCAGACAGCACACAGACAGCTGTCGGAAAGGGAGTGTCTCCAGGCTCAGGACTACACAGACCTGTGCGGGAGCCGAGGAGGATGACCGTCTGGGAGAGCCAAGACGTGGAGGTGGGGACTCAGAACCCAGAGTCACTGAATTTAGGGAGAAGGGGACAGTATGGAGTTGGGAGGGGACCCTTCTGGAGGGGGGCAGTGACATTCGTGCCCACCTGCACGGACTTGACTGAGGGGGTTCTGTGCATTTCCACTTCACGGTTTATGGCCAAGGCATGGGCGCCGCTGGCTGCGCAGCTGTGGGTTATCTCAGGGTGGGAGACCAGAGGCCAACAGAAGGGTGTCGATGGGGTGGGGATAGGTGGTCACTGGTCCCGGCTCAAGATGGCAGGCACAGGGGAGCCCTGGGAAGGGGCGCTTGCAGAGGAAGCATGCAGGCGTGATGGGGACGCTGCCTCACTCCTACTGGCCAGGCAGGGGCACCCCAAGGAGCTGACCGCCCCCGGCTGAGGTTGCGCCCCGCTCCCAACAATGCCTTCAGTGTGGGACGGCTCTGCTCCCAGGAGCCATGGAAGGGCCTGGCTCGCTGCCATGCCCGCTGAGCTGGAGCGGTAATTACATGTCTCTGTCCTGTGGGCCAAGTCCCAGAGGGCGTCCGGGGGTGTTTGTTGTTGCCTGTGAATCAGGAGCTCATGAGAAAAGTGGTGGCTGGTGCGGCAGAGAAATTAGGGCCTCGGAGCTTCGACACAGCCTCTAGCCGAGGCCCTGCCCGTGAGCCTCTGGACACCTCGGCCCCGGGCTGCTCCCCAGCCAGGTGTTCATGCCTTCAGACCAGCCTTCCACCACCTTCTGGAGGCCGAGCTTCTGGACACAAGACCTGGAGCAGATATGCCAGCCCCGGCCACACAGACACAGCCACACATATACGGGCAGATGCGCGCACTTATAATCACACTTCCCTGCCGGCACAGACCTCCTCCCTCCCCCGACGCGCACAGGCCAGGCTTCCCTCTGGGTGGAAGCTGCCAGAACCGGCAGGGGCCAGCACCAGGAGGGAAGGAGCAGAGATGGAGGGGACCCGAGCCTGGGGCCTGGACTCTCGGTAGGCAGAAGCAGCTGACAGGGGAAGCTGGCCTGACTCACCACCCTCTGTCCCCAGGGGCCACAAAGGACATGGGGAAGATGCTTGGAGGCGATGAGGAGAAGGACCCTGACGCAGCCAAGAAGGAGGAGGAGCGCCAGGAGGCCCTGCGTCAGGAGGAGGAGGAGCGCAAGGCCAAGTACGCCAAGATGGAGGCCGAGCGTGAGGCCATGCGCCAGGGCATCCGAGACAAGGTGGGCGCGGGGCACAGGGATGACGGGGCTCCGGACGGGGCACCCCACACCTCACTCCCCTGGACCAGGCCTCTCTCCACCCACTCCTTGGCCTGGTTCCTTGAAACAGACCTTTGTTTGGTCCGCTCCCAAGCTCCGGGAGGTGGTGCGAGGGGACGGGAGCAGGGCAGAAAGGTCTGCACACCCCCAGGAGCCCATGTCTGCCGCACAGGCCCGCCAGCGTTAGGGCTCACCCTGTGGGACACCAAGTCTTTCCTGCTCTCCACAGTGGGCCTGGGTCCCCTCCTCATGACAGGGTCTCCCAGACTCTCTGGGCCCGACAGTGGTTTCTGCAGGAGAAAGCCTCCCATCTTGCTCCTCCTGGAGCTGTCCCCTCAAACCCCATCCCCAGGCCTCTAGGGAGACACCCCCATCCAGAGTGGGTAGGTGCCGGGCTGCCCAGGGATGGGGGCTCTCAGGCAGGCCCTGGGTGGGGCAGCCATCAGGATTAGGGGAACGCACCTGAGCAGCCCCAGAGGGTCCTCATAGCTTCTGAGGTTTGCAACAGAGCGTTGGGGGAAACGGGCCTGCAGACTGAGGTCTGGCTTGGGGGCCTTGGGCTGGCAACCACAGTCTTTCTGTGGATCATCTAGGCTACCTTCTCCAGCAAGTGCAGCAGTGAGTGAAAGCATTGTGCCAGGTACAGACGGGGCAATCGAGGCCCAGGGGGGAGGGTGCAAGCGAGGCTGAGCTGGCAGCAGGTCACACACTCAGCACAGTGCTGGAGCACAGGGGTTCCGTGCCCCCAAGGGCATGTCCACGGCCCACCCTCTGTGGCCCATCCAGCAGCTGGGTTGGAAGTGTGGGAGAGAGGGCACGTGCTGGGGGAACTGATCCAACCCCACCTGGGGGAGCCAGGCTGGGGGCTGGGGGAGGAGATGGGGCCTTCCCCTGGGGACCTGGGAGTTCCACGAGCCTTAAGCACCCCCCAAACCATATGGCCACCCAAGGTCTTCAAGGCCACCCTGTCCCCAAGCCCCCACCTCCATGAGAGATGCCTACAGCCTGGCGGTCGTTGGGTCCAGGTGCCTGGGTAGGAGACCAGGTGGGAGGTGTTGCCTTGCTGGTTCCTTCCTGCCCCTCACCCCGATGACCCTGGCTCTGGGTTCTGAGGGAGGCATTCCCAGATGCTGCAGATAAAACCTGCTGGTAGGGGGCTGGGTCTCCTCAGGAGATGTCTGTGGTCCCTGGCCCTGGGCCATCTGAGATGCCCAGGCTGCTGGGTCTAGAGCCTAGACCTTGGTATCTTCCCGCCTGCCAAGTGCTGCCTCAGTGTACCCAGGGAGGGCCGTCCCCACCCATGAGGTAGGAGCCAGGCCTCCCAAGGTGGGGCGGCACAGCCGGGGTGCCTGCACATCTCTAGGCTACACGGGGCCCCCACATTGACGGGGGTGGGGGACCGCAGACCTCAACATCCCACCACTGGTCACGGGACACCTCTTCTGGGGAGCCCCAGAGAGCTCCAGCTGGTTTTGCTGTGAGAACCCCTGACAAGTACCTGCTGCATTCTGGGTCAGGCAGCCCGGGCTGGGAGGGGTCATCCCTGTAGGGGTCAGGAGCAGGGGGATGCTGCAGAAGGGGAGGGATCAAGAGACAGAGACAGATAGATGCCCAGGCAGAGAGGGCTGGAGCAGCTGTGCTCTGAAGCCTGTCTGTTTCTCTGTCCGTCTATTTGTGCACTTGGTGATGGGTCCTGGGGGATCTGCCCTTGAGCCTCACAAAGAGGTCACAGTGTTTGGACAGGGCTTGGAGCCCTGGGGGTGTGCAGTGGGGGTGTCTCCCCCATCAGGAGGCAGATGCCAAGTGAGCCCCTTCCCCTGAGCCCCCGCCTGGCCTGCTCAAGTGCTGCTGGTAAGAGATCATGAGCTCAACAGACTCCAACTCATTTTATCTTTAACATGGAAACCCCTTCTGTCCCTCCTCGCTTCAGACTGCCCCTGGGCTCCCGTTTCATCCAGGGCCCCAGCCCCAGGCTTGTGCTGACTTGCGCCCATTGCGTCTGGGCCTCCTTGGGTCCATGTTGCCAGTGCCCCAGGGCCTTTGCTTGGTTGATTCTCCCTGGACGTCTCCCGAGGCTCTTCCCTCCCCACTCCACCCTCCACACAATCCTCCCCGTCTCCTGCTTTCTTTTGCTCCCCAAACCTACTTTGATCCGACCCACTCCTGTTTTTCACTTGTTTGCTGTCCATTGCCCACCCCCACATGGCTGGTGGCAGCTTTGGCTGTTTGTGTCTGGCTCTGTACCTGTCGGCTAAAACAGAGCCTGGCCCAATAGGTGCCCTGCCAGAGAGTGAGTGAGGGAGTGGGTGCTCGAGTGAGCATGAGCTCAGGGTCCTCTTCCTCCTCGTGGGGATCTGGTGGGAACCATCACGGAAAGAGGCCTGGGGGAAGTGGGAGGTGCCTCCTCCATGAGAGCAGCAGGTGTCCCGCTGCTCCATGGACAAGCAACACTCAGGGAGCTCTCCCAAGGATGGACCCTGTCCTCCAGACCCCAGGCTCAGGGTGGCTCTGTGGAGAGCCACACCCCTTGGAAGAGCCTCAGGACCCCCTCTCTCCCCACATGAGCACCCCTACCCGGGATCCCCTTGGCTGGGTGCCTTCAGCTTCTCTGCCACCCATGGAGGCTGGGTCTCGCCCCTGCCCAGTGGAGGACTCCTTCCTGTGCACATCTGAGTTCTGTTCCCTTGGGCCCAGTGGGGCTCGGTGGCATCGGCTGATCCCAGGGGCAGGGGTCAGAGCACCAGGGGTTCTGACCTTACCTGGCCAGCCTGATCATTCTTCCAGCTATTGTGGGATTAGATAGGACGAGTGGGACAGGACCTGTCCCCAGAGGGTCCACCTGCAGGGAAGGCATGGGTGCGTCGGGAACACCTGTTGGGGACCACTTGGACATCACAAACTCAGTCTGCAAGGCAGGGGCCTTTCTGTGTGGCTACAGAGCTAAATGAGACAGTGGTCACCTGGCCAGGAACTGGGTAGGGGGTGGTGCTGGTGCTGGGCAGATGGGGACGATGGTCAGTCCCTCCATACATGGGTCAGAGGCAGCTCAGGAAGGTGTCTGACATGTTTTGGATGCTGGAGCCCCAGAAGGCCCAGGCTGTCCCAGTGCCACCATTCCAACCTCCAGAATGTGGCCCCTCCTGTGAGCTCCAGGGCCCCGTGAAAATGGAGGAAGCTCAGAGTCTGAGTGGAGGCTGTGTGCTGATGGTGTGGGGTGCAAGGCTGGAGCTGTCCCCCTTGCTGAGTGAGTGAGGGCAGGGCACCTGCCTGCGTGGGGGGATCCCCTGTTCCCCGCTGTACCTATAGCACCATTGAGTCACCTAGCCCCCAGGTCCTGCCCCTGAGAGGTCTGCCTGCCACTCATGTCCCCTGGGTTCTCTGCAGAGCCCTCTTCCACTGGCCCATGTAACCACTTTTTTCCTCTTCCCCACAGGTGGGAACCCTGAACCCTCTTCAGGTGTGGCTCCCCCAGGTTACCCTCTCTGACCCCCAGGCACCAGACCTGGCTTCCTCCAGTCCTCCCCTGGCACCATGTACCCCTAGGCTTCCTGGGGGCTGGTCAGAAAAGGAGCTGCTCAGTCCAGGGTGGCCCCCAGATGGGTGGGGGGCCATCAGATGGCGGACATAGGGGCCAGGGTCACGTATCCTCTGGGGCACCCAGGCCCCTTGGCGACCTCATCCAAGGAAAGCAGAAGCAGCCTTTTAGGATGTCTCACCTTAGGGTTGGTGGGCAGTGCCTCCTTCTCCCTACCCCATCGCCGTGTACCTGTGAGACTGACTCACCTGTGCTTAGTTGCCTATGTGCTGCCTGGTTTGCATATGCATTTCCTGATTTGCATACTCGCCTGGTTTGCATGCCCATCACCAGGTTTGGAGACCCTCAGCTTTGAGCCACAACCACCCTCCTCCCAGCACCATGCGGGTGGATCCCAGACCACCAGGTCCCCCACATTCCCTTGGGATCACTCAAGGCTTAGGCTGAGGTTTGTGGTGAAAGTAACAAGCAAATATGTGATTGCAGATTGTTTGTTGTTTGGGAATGTTACAGATCCTCACTTAATTAGCACCAGGCTCCTCCCAGCCACTGGGTGTGCGGTGGGACCCTGCCATCTCCGTAGTTGTTGTGGAGGCTGGGCACCGCCAGTGGGTGCCTGGACTGGCTGTAGCTGGACATTTGTCTCTGGAGCAGCTCCCAGCCAGGTCCCACTGGAGCCCAGCTCAGGAGTCCCTCCTCTAACATGGTGACCTTTAGGTGGAACCCAGGGACCTAATCCTTGGAATGACTTTGAATTTTACTGGAGTGGCTGGGCTGGGGTCCAGGGTCTCCTTTGGGGGCACCAGAGGGGACAGCCCCAACACAGTGCTGGGCCGGAGCCTGCCTCTCAGGTCAGGGAGATTCCTCTGCTCAGCTACCCTGTGTTCTCTTGCCATAGCATGCGTGTCCCCTGAGCACAGGTGGTGAGCGTGAGTGCAGGCTCCTGGGCCCGGCCCCAAGACCGACCCCCCAGCACATGAATGTTCCTGCCGCGTGCATAGCCGTCTGTGGCTGGAGAAGTCTGCTAGAGTCTGTGTTCCTGGCTGGAGGGAAGCTCTCTCTGGTCTGACCTAGTTTCTGGCAGTGTCTCTCTCCCCCGCCCACATTCCACCCCACAGGCCTCCAAGCCACATGTCCTTCCTTCCCCTTCCAAGCCTAGGGGCCACTCCTTCCACCAGGACTTTGTCCCAGAGTGGTGACCCAGGGAGAGGGCATGAGCTCCTTGTGCAAGGGAGTGCCTAGTGTTTGGCCAGTTTGTCACACTCTGTGCCTTTGTCTGACCTGACATCAGGGCTCAGTAGGAAGGGCCCTCTGGTCCATATGCCCACTGCCCAAGGTGTTCTCTGGGTGCCCCCAACAGCCCCGCATTTCTCTCTTTGCCTGGCAGGCGCCCAATGAGGCCCTGGGCTGTGCTGTGGTCACAGGGGGCCAGAGAGCATGGCTTCCTCCTCTGACCTCTGCTGAAGGTGGCCATCAACTCCCCCATGCCTGAAGCCACCAGCAGGCTCAGGGAGCAGACAGGGGCAGAGGTTGCCGTCCGTGTCTTCAGCAGGCTGGGGGTAGGACACAGCCAGTTCCCCTGAAATCTGGAAGCAGAGGGAAGGTCCTTCTTGGAGAGTGGGGCACTCCCCTCCTCCCCACCAGCCCCAAAACAGAAGATGGGCTGGCAAAGAGAGATGAGTGAGCAGTGGGGTCAGTCCTCCCCCTGGGCAGAAACACCTTCTCCCCAAGGCCAGTGATCATGCCTGTGTGCTCCCCAGTAGAAATCTGGAGTCTGTGGATAAACCCTGCCCCCACACACTGTCCCCAGTTGTCTCTCTTTACCCGTATTAATGCTTCTGCTCCTGTGTGCTCATGTGTGACTCAGAACCTCAGACCTGCCTAAGGGGTGCCCTCTTTCCAGCTTGAGTGGGTCCCAAGCTTGGCCCATCAGAGAGACCTGAGTCCAGCATGACCCCACCCAGTTCCCACCAGCCCTGAGGCAGGAGGCCTCTTGGTGACCAGAGACTCATCTTCCTCAATCCTGTGGGACTAGGATGGTTCAGTGCTGGTTCCTGCAGGGCTAGTGGTGGGCCTGGGGGTAGGGAACATGGTTGGTCTCTTTGAAACTTACTGTCTCAGTTCTAGAGGCCAGAAGTCCACAATCAGGATGTGGGCAGGGCTCCCTCCTTCTGAAACCTGAAGGGGAGAACCCTTCCTTGTCTCCTGTGGCCGCTCCGGGCAGTGCTCAGGATCCTTGGCTTGTAATCAGCCTTTCTCCACTTTCCTGTGGCTTTCTCTGTCCTTGTTTTTCTTCCACAAGGAAACTCTCCCTGAATTTAGGGCTCAGGAAGATCTCCTTACCTTAATAATATCTGCAAAGGCCCTATTTCCAAATAAGGCTGCATCCTAAGGTTCCAGGTGACATGAATTTTGGGGGGACACCATTCTACCCACTACAGAGGCGAAACTGGAAATGGGGGCTCAGGGGTGCCCAGGAGTGTTGGCTGAGGACAAGCCTGGGTGGGGCTCCAGAGCTGCCATCTAGAGCTGCCACTGTGCCCAGTCTGCTGGCTGTCCAGGCCATCTGGGGAGATGGGCCAGGCCTGAGGTGTGAGCACCCCTCACCTGACTGGGAACCTGGGCTGAGTGGGCCCCCCAGTCACGGAGCAGTGGGCTCTTCACCAGCCAGCTCCTGGACCACAGCCCCTGCCTCCTGGGAAGGCGAGGAAGGATGGCAGTGGGGAGGGCTGGGGGTGGGGCAGGGGCACCGATAGGGACCGCCCCCCTGCTTCCGCCACACCCCCACAAGGCCCCCCAAGCCAGGCTTCCTTTGTCTCCGCACACTCCGTGGGGGGCTGGGACACCTGCTGACCCGGCTGCCCCCTCTCCTCCCCACCCAGTATGGCATCAAGAAGAAGGAGGAGCGCGAGGCGGAGGCCCAGGCCGCCATGGAGGCCAATTCGGAGGGCAGCCTGACAAGGCCCAAGAAGGCCATCCCGCCGGGCTGTGGGGACGAGCCAGAGGAGGAGGACGAGAGCATCCTGGACACGGTCATCAAGTACCTGCCCGGGCCACTGCAGGACATGTTCAAGAAGTAGCGACCCTACGCTGGACGGCAACCCGCCCGCGCCCGGAGCCCCCAACCCCATCGCCCCGATCTCCCACTTAGCCCCTGCCCGTGCCCTCCGGAGGCCCCTGAAGGGATGTCGGGAGCGGAGTGCAGCACCCCCAACGCCAATATAAGCCATAGTCCTAGATCTGTCAGCCCCTGTCCCCCTCACTCCTCGGGAGCCTACGCACCTCTCACTCCCACCCTCTCCCAGCACCGCCATCGCCACCGCCCCCGGGGGGAGGGGCAGCCGCCCCTCCCCTGGGCCCCTGCGGTCTGTGCTGCAGGCACCCCCGGGGACCAGCCCACGTGCTCCTCTGGGTTGGACCCTCCCCCAGAGCCTGGGAAGTCCCTTACTGCTCCCGCCCTTCACACCCACCCCGCAGTGCCCAAGGCCAGGGCCACCGAAAGGGCCAGCATCTCGACCACCCCTGGGTGCGACGTCCCTGCGTTGGTGGGCGCTTGTCCGGTCCCAAACTCAGGAGCACAGCCATAGTGGGGGGAAAGCGGGCGTGCAGGCTGGGGGAGGAGCTGGGAGGGGCGAGCAGCCTCACCCTTGGGACTGGGGTGGGAAGACCCCCATCCCTGCGGTTACACCTGGGCTGCAGGATCTCTAATCTTCCTGTCTGAAGGTTGCCCACCTCCACCGGCCCCCCCTCACATTCATTGTCCATCTGTCTCTCCATGTCCTTCACTCTCCTTTCTCGGCCCACTCCTCTGGAAGGCTTTGCTTCTTAGAAATATCAAGACCCGGTTCTCTTCTAAACTGAGGGAAACAAAGCAATAGGCCTAGGGGTAAATTTCTCAGACCCGCCCCCCACCTGCCCTCCTCGCCCAGTGCGGAATACACACTGACCCTCACACACCCCTGTAACTCTGCCCCGGAGTCCGGAGTCCGAGGGCCCGGCCACCCCCCTCCCTGGCTGGCACCTCTGGTCTAACCCCTGGAGGCTCCTCTGAATGGGGGGGATCCCCTGCCGCCTCTCTCTGCACCCCGCCGTCCCCCTCCCCCCCAGGGCTGGGAGGAGACGCAGAGCCCTCGCAGGAGTGCGTGCATCTGGAGAGGAGTGTGGAGGAGACAAAGGCCGCCCCTGGCTTCTTCCGCAGGGTGCAGGCCCCCCGAGGTGGGGCCTGCCAGGAGGCCTTACGATCGGTGGAGGCGGAGTCTGACGGGGACCAACGCGGGCCTCCCAAACCTTCCTTGTTCCTTCATCCTTGTTTTCCTTTGCATCACGATCTGTTGAATCTCAGGTAAATGAGGTCTTACGTGTTTGGGGAGTTTCATCGTGACAGAGCCCGTTGCCTCGGTGCTCGGGCCCCTTTCTGTCCCGATCACTAATTCATGGTGTCCACGTGTTGCGGGCCCGGGGCACGGCCCCCGTCGCTCTTTAGAGAAGCCATATCAATAGACCGCAATACTAACCGCGCGCCCCTGCTCCGCGACGGGAGAGCGTGTGCCCGCGCCCCCGCGCCGCCCCGCTGCGCCCCGCGCCTCCGGCGCCCTCCTTGACTCCTCCTGGTCCCATGTCTTTTTTAAAATGCCTGTTTTCACACTTTGAAAATCCAGCTCTGAGCAGACAGGGCGTTGTCTCGTAGAAACCCCGCATCCCGTTCCCAGCGCATGGGGCGCCCGGAGCAGCCGAGCTTAGCGTAGACTGTGGGTGTCATCCGTCCTTCTGTCTTTGCGCCTGCGCCTCCTCCTGCATGTCGGGGGCCGTCGCGTGTGTAGTCTCTGGGTGGAATCACAGCCAATAAAACACCACAGTGATTTCATTCGGTGTGGCCCTTCTCTCCCGAGTCCTGATCCTGCCTGGGCAGCCTGGGGTCCCCACTGGAGGGGCTGGACCCTGCTGGACAGATCTACTTCCACGTCCTGCCAGATAGGAAGCACCTTCCCCTGTCACTGGGACAATGGCAGGGTCTCCCCATCACCCTGACCCAGATCACCCCCTGCTCTCTAAGGCAGCCCTAGGGTAACCATCTAAGAGGCAGACCCACCCCTTTGGGTGCCCTTCCTTCCTCTTCCCTGCCCCCTCCTTCCATGAATCTCCCACCTTCACAGACCGCTTGACAGTCCTTGCCTTCCCCACAGATATGCCAGGCCCTTGAGGGTCCAGCTCCCACTGTGCTGGGCACAGTTTCGGCCAACCCCCACCACCCTAAACTCCTTCACAGCCTCTAGTCTGTCCTGTTGTGGCCGTTGCCTCCCTGTGTCCTTAGGGAGGCCTCTGTGCCCTGCGGGGGCTCTGGGTCCCACACCCCACCAGGGAAGCCTGCCTGTCTGAGCCAGGCTGGGTGAGGTACCCATGGAACCCTGGGGACCCTGACCTGGCCCAGAGAACAGCTTGGCTCTCTCCCTCCTGGGCCCCCACCCATGTCCTTCCCATCCCCCAAGCCTACCCCAAGGCACCATAACCACGGTTCTGCTTGTAACCCCAGAAAAGACGTGTGTGGCCTCTGCCCCCCACCCCCCGGCCTCTCTCCAGGGAGCAAGTCTGGGTCATCTGTCTTCTGTGATTCTCCTCATACTGTTGGCCAGAAATAATTTCAGTAAAACCCGTAGTCTTGGCAAGTAGAAGGAGTGCCCTCACCCCCTACCCCTGTCTCCTGCACCCTTCCCCACACAGCTGTGCTCTGTGGGTAGCTCCAGAGCAGCAGGCCTTTGCTTCTGCCTCAGGGGCGGGTGATGTCAGCAGAGCGGGTATATGAAGACCTGCTTCTGGGGAGATGTTGGCCCTCAGCCCCGTGTACCGCCCCGTGTGCCTTTTGGCTCCTGAGGAAGGAGCAGCTGTCTGTCCTCCCTCCCTGGATCCAGAGCACTGACAGAAGTCTTTGCAGCCAACTCTGTGTCTTTCGGCTTTGCATTCCCACCCCAGGATGGCCACTCGTAGAAGGGCACTGAAAACGGCACCCACCATTCAGCCTCCACTCCCCCCACCACCCTGGCCTGGCGGGGATGAGGCTCAGTCCTGAGCAGCAACCTGGATCTGCTGGGTGACCTGGCACACCTTCCCTCTGGCCAGCCCCTCCCAGCAACCTCAAGTGATGGAGTCTCAGGACTCCAGGTAAAGCACTTGCTCAACTGATGTTTACTCAATCCCTATGATGGGCCCACCTCAGCTTTATGCACCAGGGATAACTGAGGTCCCTCCCTCCTGGAAGTGATTTTTCCAGTGGCAGGAGACAGATGATAAACAAAAACATAAATCAAGTGGTTTCTTCTGTGGAGGAAACTGAGTGGATTAAGGGGGCAGAAAGGATGGTGAGGACCAGTATTTCACCTCTGAGGAGGTACAGAGAAGCCCCAGGGAGAGGAAGAGGGAGCTCTGTGGGACTCCCATGGGAGAGCACTACAGACAGAGGAACAGCCATGCCCAGGGCCCTGAGGCAGGAGGTGCCCTGGGCCCTTCAGAACAGTGACCACAACTGCAGCTGACCATGGCCTTGCTCCAGAAGTCAGTTCTAGATCCACACTGACTCTTAGCAGAGTCTCCTTTCCTTCTGAATGTTTAACTCTTGACAAAGCAGAGCACACATGGATAGGTGGCACCCTGCAGAGACGTTCTCCCGCTCTGGCTCTGCCCGCACGCAGGTCAGGCCAGCTCCTGGCTCTGATGACTTCCTCGCTCTGCTCCCTGCCAGCAACCGGAGATTTCCTGCTTCCTCTCCTCTTCAAGGACCTGCTTGACTCACAAGCCACTTAACTATCAAGGCTGTCAGTACACAATTTTAAAGGTCTGGCAATTAAGGACCGTTTTGTCTAGTTCTGCTAATCCGCGGCTAGACAAGTCCTGCTGGCCACGGTCGCGGCCAGCGGGGCTCAGCGAACCCTGAGTCCGGGCCACCTGTCCACACAGTTTGGAACTGTCTCCACTCCATCTCAGCAGGTCCCCTCAGGTCTAGGGAAAGGAGGGGTTCTGTCGCGGAGGGGCGGGGGGCGGGGTGGTTAACAGCCTAGTTTGGCCTGGTCCCAGGGGCGGGACCGGGAATGGGGCGGGGGTGGGGCTGGGCTGGGGGCGGGATTAAGGGACAACGGCGGGGGTGGGATTGAGGGATTGCGGCGGGGGTGGGGCTGGGCTGGGAGGGATTGAGGGACGGTCTGAGGGCAGGATTGAGGGGCTGGGGCGGGGGGTAGGGCTGGGCTGGGGTCGGTATTGGGGGGCTGCGGCTGGGGTGGGTCTGGGCTGGGGGCGGGATTGAGGGGCGGGGGTGGGGCTGGGCGAGGGGCGGGATTGCAGCCGATCTTGGGGGTAGGCTGGTGTTGGGCTGGTGGTAGGCGCCCGGGCTGTCTCAATGCGAGGCCAGTGTCGGCCACACGTCTACGTGGTCTTAAGCGTGGAAGGGCCTCAGGGCAGTCCCCCAGCCCAGTGCCACTTGAGGTGTGCGCTGAGACCAAGAGATACGGGAGCCAAAGCCCCGCCTGCGGAGCGTGGCCGCGCCCCCGCACGCCAGGGCTCTGTCCCCGCCCACCTGGCCGGCCTGAGCCAATAAGCGCGTGCAGATCGACCCTCCGCAATTGGCTCCGAGGTGGTCACGTGCCAGGAACCTGGCCAATCAGAACCGGGGAGACGCCACCGCGCTGAAGGCGACAAGTCCCGGGACGGCCTTGGGGCTCAGTCCCCGCACGGCCTTTCCGGAGCCTCCGCAGTTCCTTCCCCAAGTCTTTCCGGAGTCGTCCCGGTGTCCTCCGCAGGCTAAGTTGGGGCAAGGAGTTGACGGCCTGGGTCCCGTGAGCCGCCGGCGAGGAGGCAGCCCCTGGCTCTGAGCTGGGCGCTGACTGGCAACTGGGAGGCCGCCCACCGGACAGGGGATACTGGACAGACCTTAGACAGGGGACACGTCCGGGCTGCCACGTGCGGCGCATCCTCAGCCGCGACAGCAGAGTCTCTGCCCCTCGCCTAGGGAGCCGAAGCCAGGCGGGGTGGGCTCATCCTTCTCGCTGTCCCCGCTCGGCCCCCAGACCAGGCAGGGCCAGGCTGCAGCCGGTGCGGGCGAGGCCCAGGTGGCCCCAGCTGGCCAAGCAGAGGCCCACACCTGTCTGAGGGCAGAGCCTGGGAGTAAGGGGCTCCAGTGGCCAGTGCTGACTGGCGGGCTTCGTTCTGCAGCCTGAGGCTCAGAGAAGATCCTTTACCAGGAGAGTGGGCTCAGCCCGCACGCACCGAGTCCTGCACTGGTCACGGTGCTTTTCCTGGAGGTGCAGCTGGCCGCGCGTCCCTGCTGCTGGGCCCTGCCCAGGGCTGCGCATCGTTCCCAGTGGTGCCAGTGTGATTTCTCCCAGCCTTGGAGGTTGAGTTGATTTTTATAAAACAAAGCGCTTTCTGGCACCTCAATTGAGTGAGTCCCCAGGGATTTATGCTGCGCAGGGGCAAGAAA